GGTGCACCTTTCATATCTTCATTAGGAGCTATTTTCCGAATGAGGTCTGAGTTTGCCAGTTGAAAGCTTCATAGCTTTTAAACAGAATTGATTTTTGGTAATGTACGTGTTACGTTCAATGCTAGACTCATTTGGATTAAAATAATTGTGAAATGCACTACTTGATCAACTATCGATTAATCAATTAATCTATAAATCTGCCTATTACGTTCCTGCAACATCCTACATCGCTTCTAGTCGAGCAGACCATCGTAAGAATTTGCCAATCTGAATGAATGAAAGATAATAAATAGATGAAGCTAGAAATGTACTACAGAATAAATGAAACAATATGTGACTGGATGTAAAATGAATGAACGAATAAACAACTTTTTAAGTTGATGGATGAATGCAAGAATCGACGGATGAATCACTAAACAGAGATCTGAGAAGCAGGCGTAAACTTCGTTCATGTGTCTATCTGCCTAACCAACACTTGTTATACATTAACGTCAAAAGTTAAAAGTGATTTGTCTCACTCGGTTCATCATATGACAACAGAACGCTTAATTTCATGCAATGTTGTTGACAGCCATGATGACGCAGAGCACCGTTTCTCACCATTCGCTAAGATCAGATACCAATTAACGTTCTGTCGTTCCGTCTTTATGCCCCAAGACCTTTCAGAACTGTAATTCTTTTTCTTTTGAGGTTACTTAGGACGATCAACTACAATTTTTCTATTTTGGTACATAATCAGGGTTATTTACTTCAAGGCAAATCCATCTGAAAGCTAGGTAGACTTTGGTTATCAAAGCATCAGCAGCTGACTGCTTAACAGTTCATGGCGGACTTTCACGGCTGCCGTAGTGGCATGGCGTGGCCATGAGCAGTAATTTAAGCGGAAGATACTTCGACTTTATTTATTCATTTATTTCTCCCGATTGATTGCAAAGTTTCGTGAATTTGAAAAGCATGTGTAATTCTATGAATTAAGGACGAATTTGTTAGCTGTTGAGGAA